TTGGTGCAACGCAATGAAAAGCAACGCAAAGCAAGGCAAAGCAATGCAACGCAATGCGAAGCAATGCAACGCAATGCAATGCACTGCAAAGCAAAGCAACACAAGGCAAATCATTGCTAAGCAAAGCGCTGCAACACAATGCAGCGCAGTGTACATCAATGCAGATCAATGCAACGCCACGGAAAGCAATGCAACTCAGTGCCAAGCAAAACCAAGCAATGCATCAAACAATGTACATCGTGTGATGGAACGCAATACAGTGCCAAGCAATGCAACGCACTGCAATGCAGTGTGATGCTAAGCGATCCAGAGCAGTGCAAATCAATGCAAATCAATACGATTGCAATGCGATGCAATGCATGGCGGTTGCAGTGCAGCGGGGGTGAGGTGCAACGGGGTGGCGGCGACAGGCGGGAACGGGGCCGCAAACGGGGCCGCAGACGGGCCTCTCCGATCGTCTGCAGTCGATCGGATTGCAACGGTTCGTTTGCAACGGTTGTGTGTGTGTGTCGCCGTTAACGGCAACACCACTTCGCTCTCCCTCCGGGACTTCGCCCCCGGCTCCTGTCCAAGGCGTACCTTTTCCTGTGCAAGCTCTTCGGCACCGCCTGTACTCCGCACCCTCCGGCCGCATGAGGCCCCGCCCGCCCGCGCCCTGTCTTCCCAATTAGTGCTTCGCGCGCCCCGCCTAGCTCTTATTGGAAGAGGTTCGCTCTCGCCCCGCCGACCCCCCCCAAGAAAGTGTGTGTGTGTGTGTGTGTGTGTGTGCAGCGGGGCGGCGGCGACGGGGCGGCGACGGGGCGGCGACGGCGACCACAGAGCGGCGGACTCGACCACGGAGCCTGGACGACGGGCGGCGACGGAGCGGCCTGCCGCTCGCTGCTGCCGCCGCGGAGCGCGCCATCCGCCCAGCACGGCCGTGGCAAAGAGTCCAGGCGCCGCGCGAGCCGCGCGCCCCTCTCGGCCGACCCGACCGTGCCCGCGCGCGCGCCGCCTCCCTCATCGTGGCGGCCTCCCGCGCGCGCGCGCCGGCGCCAGCGGCGAAGGGCGACGGGCTCCTCGTGCGACGCTGCCGACGGAGAGCTCGGCGGCGAGCCGGGGGGGGGAGCTGAGAAGGAGGAGGCCTTCTCAGCAAGCGGCGGGGCCTCTCAGGAGCCCTCCGGCCTTAAGAGGAGCTTTCGGTGCCTTCGGGGGAAGGCTCAGGGAAAGCTTCTCAGAAGGCCAGAGGCCTTCCGAGCCTTTTGAGAAGGCCCGCCGCCTCTCATTTCCCCCCTGGGCTCGCCGCCGAATGCTGCAGATGGAAAGCGGAACCCGAGTCCCAGCGCAGAGGCAGCGTTCCGAGTTCAGAACCAGGTCGGCCCCAGGGGTGCGAAGGGAACAGCGCTTCGCGCATTGCGGTTCTGATGGGAGAGGCGCCCTTTTCCAGGGCTCCGGCACGAGGGCGCGAAGGTAGCCGCTGCGTCGCACATCGCGGGGCGCGGCGCGCGAAGATGCGTGACCCGGGAGAACATTGCCCTCGAGTCGGCCTCCCCGACCATGCGGGAAAGGGTGGGGGGTTGGGGGGTGGGGGGCCCGCAGTGGCCCGACCAGGGAAGCCTGGTCGTTCGCTGGGGCGCGGGGGCGCAGCTCTCGGGCCCCTCCTCGGAGCTGCAGGCAGTGTTCATGTGGCATGCTCGTCCCCTGCCATTCTCGAAGGCCTAGAGGTGGACACCAACACCCAGATCGGCGGTGCGCCTCCACCGAGGAAAGAAGATCCCGATTTCGGTGATGGTGGTAGGATTCTGGCTTCCAAGGTGGCCGACATATTGCCACCAACACCGAAATCTAGGATCGTCTTCCCCCGGTGGAGGCAGCGCCCTGTGTTGGTGTTGGTGTCAATTTTCAAGCCTCCAACATTCTGGTCCAGGGCAGCGCCGCCCTATCTGCTGACGTGGTGGGCGCCGCCTGCCTCGCATATGTGCGGCGGCGGGCAGGCGAAAGGGCCTGTATCCGGATCCTGCCGCCACCACCCATCGCTACCGCACCTTCTCCAGTACACCCGTATCCCAATATGCGATGGTACGCTGATCTCAGTCTCAACAAGGGCCAGCGTTCCCGGCGCTCCATTGGCCCCAAAAACGGCGCCAGGAGGGCTGCAGAGTCTCTCAGATTCCCTGGGGAGCTCCAAGCTGGCCCGTCCACAGCCCGCGTCCACCTCCGAGCCCGGCATGGTACTTTGAACGTGCGAGGTGTTGGCTTTGGCTCAAGGGGGGGTCTTGCTGCGTGGGGTTGGGGGAAGGGGAAATCATGTTTCCGAAAGGGAGAGTCTCAGGGGCTTGGAAGAGGAAGCGCCTTACCCCCCTGCGCCTTGAAGGGTTGGTGTGATCACAGCAGTGCTGGCTGACGCACGACGAGGGCGACATGTCCGACGCGCGAGCCTTGCCCCGCTGGGGTCGAACATCACATCGTTCGGCGGTGCGCCTGGGGGGACTTGAGAAGGGGCAGGCCTGCTCAGGAGGCCCGGAAGGCTTCCGGCGTTCTGATAAATTTTCTATACTTTATTCGCAAACGTTCAGAAGGCGCGAAGGCTTTTGAGAAACCCCGCCGCCCTCCGAGAAAGCCTGCCCCTTTTCACTTCCCCCAGGGGGCGCGCAACCTAATCGTGCACATGGTTTGTGCAGTAGTGTCAGGGGCGGCCTTGCCGACCCCTAGCAAACCATCCCCTTCTGTGACGCCCCGAGACGGCTGTATGCGGCCAGAGGGAAGCCTGAAAGGCCTCTGTGGCGCCGCGGAAGGGGATGGTTTTCTAGGGGTCGGTCAGTCCGCGCCCGATCGTGGGTCGGTCGCCCCTTCCATGCTCCCCCTTTGCCGCCACTGCCCTCCCCTCCGCCCGCGGCCTCTCTCCGCCCTCCCCGCCCCCCCACCTTTGCCGAGGCGCGCGAGGTCAAGGGCAGCAACCACATTGAACACACCACAGGCGCGCCCACCGCGCCCGCCCTCTGCTTTCGGGAGGGGGGCCCGGACGGTGCCGTGACCACACCGCGTGGTCAATCGGTGGGGACTCGCGGTCACTGCATGGATTTTGGGCTCGGGACGTTTTCCGAGGCCGTCTTGGGCGACTGGGCCCCCGAAGTCCCAAAAGCGTGCGGTGACGCACCGTGCGGTGCGGTCGTTGGGGTTTCCGAGGTCACCGCGCGGTCCGTCACCACGCGGTTTCGGGGCCCCGAAAAAAGAGAAGTGGCTTGATTCTCCGAAGCGTCCTCGGGCGCGGCCTCCTCCTCCTCCTCCTCCTCTTCCTCCTCCTCCTCCTCCTCGTCCTCCCCCTCCGCCTCCTTCCCATCCTCCTCTTCTCCTCCTCCTCCTCCTCCTCCTCCTCCTCCTCCTCCTCCTCACCTCTCTCCTCCTCCTCCTCCTCCTCCTCCTCCTCCTCCCTCCTCCCTCTCCTCCTCCTCCTCCTCCTCCTCTCCTCCTCCTCCTCCTCCTCCCCCTCCTCCCCCTCTCGCCCACCTCCTATTCTTCTTCCTCCTTTTCTTCCTCCTCCACCTCCTCTTCCTCCTCCTCCTCCTCTCGCTCGACCTCCTCCTCCTCCTCCTGCTCCTCCACGGCGTCTCGAACGATTCCGTCTGGCTCAAACGGGGGGACGAGTCCTGCAGATTCCGTGCGGTTCGTGAGCTGGCGGCGCTGCGCGGAGAGGGTTCAACGCTGCCGTGCGCGTTGAGAAGCAGGAGCCAAGCAAGGGGCCGACAGTTTCAACATCATTTGCCTCTCTGACGGAGGCGCGCGGATTGATATGCGGTCTGCTGCAATATGCATAGCGGATGCGTGCGTGCAAAAGGAGCTGTCCTCACCATGGGCAGGATCTACATTAGGAAGCTTCTTTCGTCTTTCTTTGCGGAGGCGATTGCTCTGGAACATTGTGCGGCATATGCCAGACGGCTGCTTGAGACTGATTGACGTGGCAAGCGCAGGAGACGTCGAGTCCGACTTTCTGGCCGCGTGCATCGGCCGGCGCCAGAGGCGCTGTAGGCCGTGCCGAGAAAAACCAGGAGAGGCTCGGTGCCCAGCAACTCTTGGCTGGGAAGCGCCTCGGCCGGGGCCACGAGGGCCCAGATCTCCGACGATGTCTCTAATTAAATCTCCGGTACTTCGCCACCGGGCTCCTGCCGAAGGCGTCCCTTTGCAAGAACTTCGGCTTCGGCACCGCCTGTATCCGAGGCTATGCCTCCTCTCGGCCTCGCTCTGAGGCTCCGCCGCTTCCTCCCGCCTCTTCTCTGCCTAATTCAAGCTTCGCGCGGCCCGCTTGGCTTTGACCGGAAGAGTTGCGCTCTCGACCCGCGGATCAAAAAGTGTTTTATTCAATCATTCAGTTTTTCTTCGATGTCGGCTTGATGAACCCCTGCCGGGCCTTTGGCCCATCCAAAACAGGTCCAGGGCGGACCTCTTGAGCCGCGGATTGAACAATTCATATCGGATCGGCGGATCTCACGGAGCGTGGTGCAGACGATCCTCCAGACGCACTTCTGAACATGGATCTAAGCAGTTGAGCTGGTTCCCAAGTGGCACCCTCGCATGCTCGCCAGATTCGTGGGGCCTGGTGGAATCGTGAGCCCATGCCATTTCCTTGTCGCAAAGACCCAATGCCCTCGCAGAGCATCTCCTCTTCCTCCTCTTTCCTGTGCGTCGTACTCGTTGGGCTGTAAAGTTTACGTGGTCATTCGCGGAGCTTGGGCCGGGATAGTTCTATAAATTCGCAGTTTTGCCAGTGTTTTGATTCCAGTTGCGCGCAACGGCCTTCCAATGGCAGGTTGGCTTGCGATGGTCCAGGTATTTGGGTTTGCTTCTCTTCCTACTGTTTCTTCTGCGCTCCTCCTGCTTTCTTTCCCCTCCTTTCTCGGAGTATAGCCCTCTCGATTTTGATGATGAGTAGTCTGGCGCACGCATTGGCTTGAACGTTCCAGTGCTCTGCCTCCTAATCCTCCCATTTTCGTGGCACTTTGCGAAGACGGGGATTTGCCCCAGCAGGAGTCGCAGCGTTAGCATAGATCAACAGTTCGCACAAAACGTTTGCTTGGCCGTCTCACATGCAGCCTGCTTCCGCCATTCGCGTGTGTGCCGCAGACTCGCTTGTGCGCACCAGCGTGTATGGTTGATTAGACATGATCACGCTTCGCACCGATCCAGCGACGGGCTTTGCCTATTTAGTGTGCGCACATCTTTCGACATGCAGTCCAAGTCGTGGAGTAGAACGGCACAATGCACATACACATCTGTGTTAACATACACACATGCATTATCCATCAATAGACATATGTATATATATGCATATATATACAGGTACTTATACATTGTGTATATACATACGTACACATGTACTCACATACGCACATACACACACGTGCGCAATTACATGAATGTGACCATGAATGTACAAGTACGCGTACAGGTGCATGCCACTTTTCACATACATATTCACACCAGTACACACACGTATACATACACATATACATATTCATACTCGTGCATCCCAACTTTTTGTTCGTGTGTGTACATTCATGTCCACATTACCGTATGCACACGTACTCACCTATATGAGTGTCGAACCAGACACACGTTTACATAGACACAGTCGCAGTTTCAGACATACATACATGCATGCACCCATGCATGCACATACTCACATATACACATACACATGCACATACACATACACACATGCTCATACACAGTAACATACACATAAAAGTATAAGCACGCGTATATGTATGCGAAGACGTACATGTATACAGGTGGATCGTCACACACAGGCATTTATATATGTATGTGTGTTGATGTATATATATATATATACTTGTACACATTCGTTTACAGTTGCACATATTTACATATGTAGATACATCTACATATACACATACATGTACATATACATACACATGTACACCACATTCACATACATATGCATATGCGCATGCTCATACATCCACATACACGAGCATATTTACATCTACACATACATATACATATATACGCATACCGATTTGTATACGCATGTGTACACGCATACATATACATATTCCATATGCATACATGTACATGTACATTTTGCAGTCACACATACATATACATTTACACATGCATAAACACATACATAACTGCATACATGTACATCCATATACACACATACGCACACATACACGTACACATCTGCATATGCATTCACGTATACATATCCATTTGTACATGTACATATGTTTGCCTGTCTGCCTGCCTGCCTGTCTGCCTGTATGTGTGTCTGTATGTAGGTGTGTATGTCTCTCTAGGTGTAGATGAATGAGTATGTATGTGTATATGTATATATGCATGTATGGTGTATGCATGCATGCATGCATGTATGCATGCATGTATGTATGTATGCATGTATGTATGTATGTATATATGAATATATGTATATATAGGTATGTGTATGTGTATGTGTATGTGTATGTGTAGGTGTAGGTGTACGTGTATGTATGTATGTATGTACGTATACATGTACGTATGTATGCATGTATGCATGCGTGCATGCATGAATGTATGTATGTATGTATGTATGTATGTATGTATGTATGTACGTAGGTATGTATGTATGTAGGTATGTATGTATTTGTATGTTGTTATGTATGCCTATTTCGATGTGTACATGCCATGGAGCGACTACGCAGACCCTGGGCCCACGACGAGCCTTGCCGGGATCGGCGCAGGCGTACAAGTGGCCCCCTCTTGAGCTCGCTCGTGCAGGAGAGGCCCAGGGGGCAGGGCCCCCTCTGCGACCCCTCGGCCCCGGCCCCAGCACGCCGCGCCCCCGAGGCACGTACGTGGACACCCTGTCCATGAGCGTGAAGAGCAAGACGTGCCCCTGCCGCTCCTGCCTTCCCGCCCCGCAGCGTGGGAGGCGGGGGCAGCGGAGGGAGGCAGGGACGAGCACGGGTGCGAGGTGAGGCGCCACGGCGGGGGGCGGGGAGTGCGACGGCGAGCAGTCGGCGACTGGGCCGTGCCCCCTGCCCCTCCTTCTCCTCCTTCCCCCGCCCCTCCCCCCCGCTTCCCCTCCCTCTCCTCCCCTCCACTCCCCCCTCCTCCCCCTCCCCCCTCCTCCCCCCTCCTCCCCCTCCTCCTCCTCCTCCTCGTCCTCCTCCTCGTCCTCCTTCCTACTCCTCCTCCTCGTCCTCCTCGTCGTCGTCGTCCTCCTCCTCCTCCTCCCTCCTCCTCTCCTCCCCTTCCCTTCCCCCCCCTCCCCCTCCCAATGTGTACGTGTGTACGCCTGAGTGCCCTGAGCTACTTGGGCAGCACGGTAACAAAGACTCACGCTTTTGCATGGTCTCGTACGCCACTCGTACTGCTGGCGCACTGAATGCTGGCGCTCGTGAACATGGGATCGCGCGTGGGCATGTGTGCGTGTATGCATTTCATGTTGTTGCAAGCTCCGCCAGGTTCGCGGGCGCTCCTTCGCACATGCTGCGCGTGGAGATTAACGACTTCAGGGTGCAGGAGCCTCGAATCCACCCTGACCGGCGTCTTTCTTACAGTGGGCGCGCCCCAGGCGGGTTCATCAGGCGCTCTCCAGACACAGTTAACAACATTGTGCAAGTCGAACAACAATCAACTGCATAAACACAAACGTTAGGAGCTCCGCGCGGATTTCTTGGATCGGCGCTGAGTCCCCCTGGCGCGCTCCGCGGTCCAGGGAGGGGGGTCCAGTATTGATCCCAGAAATCCGCGCGGACCTCTGAAAGTTTATGTTTATGTTGTTTTTAGTGCTTTCTTATTTTTCAGACACAGACAATACGTTGCGAATCCCTGGGCCGGAATCTCGCCCCCCCCACTCTGCATGTGGCTCGCAAGGCGCGCTGGGGGCAGGAAGGCAAGGGAAGGTGTGGGAGTGTCGTGGGGCTTGACGTCGGAGGGGCCTGGAGTCAAGGGAGTGGAGTGGGACAGGGGGGGAATTTCAAGGCGTGGGGGTGGGGAGGATGGAGGGATCCCCGTATCCTCTCCCCGTATCATCTCCCGCTCTCCTCCCTTCTGGGCGTTGCCAATATCCGAGGGTCCTGGACTCGAAGTACAATTGATCACAGCGCCTAGAGGCATCCAGAGCATCGAACAGCGACTTTTCCAAATCTATTGTCTCACGTCTTTCCCCACTCAGCTCCCTCTCCCTCCAAGTTGCGTGGCGGGCGAACCTTGGGGGTTGTAGAGACCTGCTGCTTCTCCTTCCACGACTCGCCCTTCCCCTCCTCATCCCCTTCCTCCTCCTTGCCGAGCAGGGTTCGGATTCCTCTGACAACTTGTTTCTTACATGAGGTCTTGAACCTGCAACCCATCATTTACTCCCTGACCCTTCCTGCTCAGCGTGTTGGTTTGGCGACTCCTCAATCGCCTTAGCCTGTTGTGTTCAAGGGTTGCCTCCCACACAGGGCGTAAACAGCGGTGCTGGCCAGATGGGGAGGGAGGATGATAAGGATGAGGATGAGGACGAGGATCGAGATGAGGATGAGGAGGACGAGGAGGAGGAGGAGGAGGAGGAGGAGGAGGAGGAGGAGGGGGAGGAGGAGGAGGAAGGACGAGGCGGATGAGGAGGGGAAGGGGATGATGATGCTGCTGCTGATGATGATGATGATGATGATGATGATGATGCTGACGATGATGAGGATGATGCTGATGCTGATGCTGCTGCTGATGATGATGAGGATGATGGTGCTGCTGATGATGACGATGGCAATGATGGTGATGATACTGATGATGATGCTGATGATGATGGTGATGATGAGGATGATGAGGATGACGATGCTGCTGCTGATGACATCGATGCTGACGATGATGAAGCTGATGCTGATGACGATGCTGATGCTGTTGCTGGTGATGGTGCAGCTGATGAAGATTGTGATGCTTATGCTGCTGATGACGATGATGCTGATGATTATGATGCTGATGACGATGCTGATGCTGTTGCTGATGATGCTGATGAGGATGAGGAGGACGATGACGATGCTTATGATGCTGCTGTTGATGACGATCATGCTGATGATGCTGCTGCTGATATGCTGTTGCTGATACTGATGATGCTGATGATGATCACGGTGATGCTGATGATGGTGGTGGTGTTGATGATGCTGCTTCTGCTGATGATGATGGTTGTGGTGGTGGTGGTGCTACTGCTGCTGCTGCTGATGATGATGATGATGACGATGATGATGCTGATGGTGCTGATGATGATGATGATGATGATGATGATGATGATGAGGAGGAGGAGGAGGAGGAGGAGGATGAGGAATAGGAGGAGGAGGAGGAGGAGGAATATGACGTGGAGGAGGAGGAGGGCTTGTCCCACGCTGCCCGGAGAGGTGCCAGTTCATCCTCGGAACAGTTTCTTCTTGTCAGCTGTTCAGTTACCGAAGACGCCTACGGCGAACCACAACCGCCCCCTGGGCCAAACGTTGGGCCAAAGTCTGGCCAAGCTATTGGACTGTGTGTTTCCCCAGTCGGTGTTGAACTCCTGAGGGGAACGCTTGGGACAGGAAGAGAAAGGAGGACAAGAGGGGGCCGGATGAGGAGTTGAATGCTGCTGCTGCTGATGATGATGATGAGGAGGAGGAGGAGGAGGAGGACGAGGATGAGGATGAGGATTCTGATGATGATGACGATGATGATGATGCTTCTGATGATGATGATGATGATGAGGATGAGGATGAGGATGAGGATGAGGATAAGGATGAGGAGGACGAGGATGAGGATGAGGATGAGGATCATGATAATCAGGATCATCATGATGATGATTCTGATCATGATGATGATGCTGCTGATGATGATTATGATGATGATGCTGCTGCTGCTGCTGCTGATGATGATGATGATGATGATGATGATGATGATGATGAGAAGGAGTAGGAGGAGTAGGAGGAGGAGGGTGCTAATACAGCTGATGCTGCTGCTGCTGATGATGGTGGTGGTGGTGATGATGATGAGGATGAGGATGAGGATGAGGAGAAGGAGGAGGAGGAGGAGGAGGAGGAGGCGGAGGCCTCTTCAGGCCCTCTTGGGGTCACCTGGTGGCTTGCTTAGAGCCTCTTGGGCGCCTCCTGAAGCCTCTTGGTGGCCGTGGGACGTCGTCTTGGAGCCCTCTTTAGGCAGCCGTGGGTCCCTCTTTGGGCGCTTGAGGGCCGTCTGGGGGGTCTATGGGGCCGCCTCGGGGCCGTTTTGGAGGCCTTCTTGGGCCGTCTTGCGGGCCTCTTGGGGGCCTTTTGGGCCGTCTTGGGGCGATCTTGGGGTCCTATTGGGCCGTCTCGGAGCATCTAAAGCCTGAAAAGGCGAGAACGCTAAAATCAGTGAACAACCTAAGGGACACGAATGGTTTTGGCTTCCTGGATGTCCTCTGGGAGCCTTCTTGGGGCGTCTCGGGGGCCTCTTGGGCCGTCCGGGGGAAATCTTGGGCCGTTGTTGGGTGCATGTTCGGCCGTCTCAGAAGCATCTTGGGGCCATCTTGGGCTCTCTTGGGGCCATCTTGGCTGCCTTGGAGGCCACCTGGGCTATCTTGGAGGCCATCTTGGGGCAGCAGTTTGGGAGGAAACCTGCCGATGTCGGGTTTTGAGCGCTCTTCTGGGTAGGCCTTTCTGGTAGGCCCTTGCAAGAGGATTAACAACAATTAAACGTTCGTCACGCCAGGCAGCCCCGTGGCAAGCAGCAGGGGGCGGCGGATGTGGTGTAAGTCGAGCGTGTCCCCCTACATGAGGAAAATTCGAGGCTAGTCAAAACGTAGTCTGGTGACGATCCGTCGTGCTCTTGTGGCCACTTTCGAGTGCTGTTTAGATTCTTGTTTTAGCATTGTTCTTCCAAGCCCCGCATGTAGGAGGACATGCCCGACCGCCCCGGCCACCGTGCCTCGGCTGTGGGCCAGGGGCCTCTTGGATGTCTCAGCACACCCAGACCTCCGACGACGACCTGTTTCTTGCAGTTCGCGCGCTTTCCTCGACCTCGGCCTCTGGGGCCCCTCCTCCTCCTCCTCCTCCTCCTCCTCCTCCTCCTCCTCCTCCTCCTCCTCTTCCCAGAGAGACTCTGGGGGCCTCTGGGGCCCCTCCTCCTCCTCCTCCTCCTCCTCCTCCTCCTCCTCCTCCTCCTCCTGCTCCTCCTCCTCCAGAGGGGCCCCGCGGGGGCCTCGAGGGGCCCAGGCTGGGGCCTCCGGGGCCTCGGCCTCCCAGAGAGCATCTGGGGGTCCTCCTCTAAGGAGGGGAAAAAACATACAGACTCAATTAATCGTCGATTCCCCAGAAAATATGGGAAAATATTGGAAGTGGGGGGGGAGACAAAAACCCCATACGGGGAAATATGGAGAATCCTTCTATTTGTGTCTATTTATTCTTCAGGCTTCCGCCACATCCGCCGACCCCTTGGATTTTCCCCGGGATCGTTCACCACAGCTTCCTTGCAAACCGTGGGAAAATGAGGTTGTTCAGGGCCCGTCACAGCGAGAAGGGGAGCCGACATGGGTCGCAAACTGGCCCAGAGGGCTTCCAGACGGCCCAAGCGAACCCCAAGACGGCACAGGGAGGTTTTTTGGGTTGTGTTTGGGGCCTTGTACGGGTGCCGGAGCCAGGGAAGTATGTTACACCCCGGAGACATCTTACGGTTGTCGGCGGTTTCCAAGCGGGATGTCCCGCTAACTGTTAATGTTCGGAGATGTTTGGGCTGACCTTGTCGATGGCAATGACGTCGTTGATGATCACGACACTGATGACGATGATCGGCTCCCTCTCCTCCTCTCCTCCTCCCCCTGCTCCTCCCTCCTGCTCCTCTTTCTGCCTCTCCTCCTCTTCCTTCTCCTGCCCTTCCTCCTCCTCCTCCTCGTCCACGTCCTTCTTCCCTTCCCTTCCCCGCCTTCTTCTCCTCCTCCTTCTTGTCCTTCTCCTGCCTCCTCCCGCCCTTCGTCCCTCTCCTCCTCCTCCTCCTCCTCCTCCTCCTCCTCCTCCTCCTCCTCCTCCTCCTCCTCCTCCTCCTCCTCCCCCGCCTTCTCCTCCTCCTTATCCCCCTTCCCTTCCCGGCCTTCTCCTCCTCTTCCTCCCCCTCCTTGTCCTCTTCCTCCTCCTCCTTCTCCTCCTCCTGCTCCTCCTCCCCCCCCCTCCTTCTCCTGTCGCGGGGCCCTCGTGGAGGCTTCTTGGACCGTCTTGGTGCGGTCTTGGGAGGCTCTCGGGCCGCCCCGGAGCGCCCCAGAAGGCGCACGTACGAAAAATACACGTTTTACGAAGAGAACGGGCGATTTTATACAGCGAGAGGCCCTCCAGGGGCGCATAGTGAAAGCCTCGTGGGGCGTCTTGGGGGGCCTCTGCAGCCGTCGGGAGGCCGTCGTCAGCGTTTTGGATCGCTCTTGGACCGTCGAGGACCATGTGGAGCTGGCCGCTCGGACCGCTCCTGGAGCGCTCTCGGAGCCGTTTTCGGAGCCCTTTTGGGTCGTCTTGGACGTGTGTTTGCGCGTCTTGGGGCCCTCGAGGGCTCTGTGGGAA